GGGCGAAAGTCCCGCGAAAGCAAAACAATAATCAGCGAAGACACCATGTGCAGAAACAGGAATATTGATCAACGCTCAGCTATTGTTTTAATGCTGTTTTAATGTAGAATATGCATGCGCCACACCAGATGTTGCCAAGCGAGACGTGTGCGCACCTGTTGTCGTACTTTGAAGCAAGTTCCGGCAGGCATTTTTTCCTGGACAGATGCCTAAACGTCAGGCGGAGCTGCGAGAGTCGAACGCCGGTAATCGGAGTGGAGAGTGTGCTGCCCGGCAAGGAAGCCCATGGTGCGAAGTGAGGATCGGGCGGAGACTTGCATTCTGAAGGGCCATGTGGAAGTCACCAAGGCTTGGTGGTTGCAAGTTGTTGTTAGCTTGTCACCGTGAGAAGCCTTCTGCAGGTCGAAGAAAGCAAGGCGCAAGACGACAGTGACACAGGCCTCAAGCTGAACGCAAGCTGAAAGCAAGCTGACAAAAAGCTGACAGCTCACAGTCAATCCGCCGTTTGCAGGAAGGTGGCTGTTGCCGGTGCGCAGACTCTGGGCCGTGGCCTCGTGGTTCCCGGGGCCGAGAACCGGGCCGACATCGTGAGACACGATGCCAGGTGCAGACAGACATTATCGTAAGGGTCTGCATCCTCACAGTGCGTGGCCTCACCCTCGTCCCAGACTTACGGGTCTTCAACAAAAACCACCGCCTCATGCGTTTATGTTCACACGTGAGGATCAGGGCCTCAAGCTCACCGACGACAGCAGCGTGTACGCCGTCGCTTGCCTGAACAGTCACCCATATGTCACCAATCGAACGTTCTCGAAACCCATGGTGTAAAGCTTTGAGCCACTCTCTGAGACGAAAGAGAAGTTGTGTTCGTCATCACCGTAGGGATATCATGTAGCTGCAGCATATCAGCTTGTTTTGACTTCCTCTGATAAGGCAGCAAGCTATGTCGTGCTGTTGTACTGCCGACCATGACATGCAGGGATACAGGTCTTGAATGAAAGTGTTTTTCTTAGGAGATCTCAGTGTAGATGCCACGTCCGCTCACTTCCATATTCTGAGGTTGCGAAAGTCAACGGGATGCCGGACCACCTGCAGCGGAAGTCCCACGCGAGAGTAGTGTCCTAAATTTGATTTGATTTCCAGCCAGGTAGAGGAGTCAGCTAAAGGCAACCAGAGATTTCGGCAGTGCCCAGCCAATATACTTGTCACCAAGATGGTGCTGGAAGACGGGTCTGGATGTGATTTCTACGCGAGTGTCGAGACCCTTGGATGCAGAAATGCGTGCATATGAGGCATCCGGTGGAAAGCCCCCGATGGCCCCCCCCCCCCCCGCTATTTGCTATTTTTGCTCTGAGACCATGAGGATCCAGACAAGCGTCCCTGGCGTGGGAAGTCTGCAGATCGAGGCTGGGGAGCTGCTCGAGCTCGCAGCAGTCAGCTCGTCGACTTCGCGCTCAAAGGTAAGGGCAGATGTGGGAACTTACACTCGACAGGACGGGCTTGTGACTGGTTTCACCGTTCCGTGTTTGTCGTTTGACATTCGTTTGACGCACGTGGGACACTGGGTGACTGATTGGCCTTCCCATCAGAGAAACATAAACATCACAGAAAGCTGTGTGCCGTTTTGCGGCATAGGGCAAAACGGCTGCTTCGTCACCGACTCTCAGCTCGTCAGCTTGGGAGCGCCTTTTTTTGTTTGAACTGTTCCCCTGGTATCATTACTCTGCATCCAGATTCTTGAACCCTCGGTTTTTGAAAGTAGGCCCGTGTGGACAGTCGCGGTTTCCGGGTCGCATCTGCTCTTGGAATCGTTTCTTTAGGCATAATCCGATCAGACAGCACGATGCTTTCCGGAAAGCACCAGAATCTCGGGAACGATGCGATCAGGCAGCACGCAATCTGGAGAGATCATGCGATCAGATTTTTCTTGCAAAGCGGAATACACATCCAGTAATTATGAGACAACCAGCTGCTATCTGTCAGGGTTGTGCGCGCTGCGGAAAGTGCTTTGCGACTGGGGTTGAGGGGTGAGGGGATGGGAGTTTCTCATTTCAGTGTGGCTTTGTTTGGATTGGCTCGGCCTGCTTTTGGGCGCGGTTTTGGGCTTCGGGACATTGGTGCTGGGTGAGTGGAGGGTATGGTGCGTGTCGGGGTTTGGGGTTTTGGCCGGGTGTTTCAGGTGTAGGCTTGGAGATGATAAGTTTTTGGGGCATTGAGGGTCTTTTGTACATTCTTATTGTTTGGCTTGTCAGATGTGTATAAATATACTAGGGGCATGAGACCGTGCGTGGGGTTGTTGTGTAGTTTCGTGGTTTTGGACCTGGGGGCATTGGCGTGTGAAGGAGAGATTGGAGGCTTCAGGGGCACCTTGTTTGTGCGGGGGTCAGTGCAGAGCACGTGAGGATTCAGGACTGTAGGGGCTTCATTTGATATTTTTGTGCATGTTCTGTGCGGCTTCTCAGGTCCACCACTACCACTACTACTGCTGCTGCTGCTGCTGCTGCTGCTGCTGCTGCTACTACTGCTACTACCACCACCAACACCACCACTACGACGACGACGACTACTACTACCACTACCACCACCACTACCACTACTACTACTACTACTACTACTACTACTACTACTACGACTGCTGCTACTGCTGCTACTACTACTACTACTACTGCTACTACTAC